ATTTTCTTTCCAGGTTTTGATCAGCACCCAGTGTCCAGGCTGGAAATGGTGAGCTGCAAAACCCAGAGGAGGAAGCAAGAAGTCCTTTGAATCTTGGCTCATGCACGAGGTGACTGAGTCACCTCAGGTGGTGCCTGGCCTTTTGAGCCTCTCCTTCCTGGACTCTCGGCTAACAGTCTCAGGTTTACCTCCCAAACTGTGGAGACCAGGAAATGGAGTGGGAATCGCCACTTTGAAAATGAGTCAGCATTTTGTTTTCCACAGAAGGGAGTCGGTGGTTCAGGATCCGCCCAGCAGCAAGGGCAGACATCCTCCATCAACTATGGTGCACCCCAAATGCACACAAAATGGGGATCCCCGGGTGGGATGATACAGGACCAAGGGAGGCGTCCAGCAAGATGACAGGGAGGGCACCGCCCACCAGAAAGAGCTCTGATCCTCATTTAGTGTTACCTTTTTACCACGGTAAACTACACACTTTCCCTTGAGACTCATTTCTCTCAGCACTTACTTACTATACATTTTGAATTTCCCAACTTGGTCACCGCTAGGAGCCTTTTACGGGTGACTCTCTTCAGCAGTTGCGTGCTTCTGTCATGCAAGATTCTGCGCTGCATGCTCTTGTCTTGCCGCCTCTTCTCTCTCCACAGCCTTCCTGTCATCCCTGTGCTGGTGACTCACAAATCATTGTCTTAGCCCCCATCCCCGTGCCGTACTCGGTGGAAACTCCACCTGACTGTCCAATAAGCACCTTGCAGCTATGCTAGCCACAGTGCAACTTATCGCTTGCTTGTGCATGTGCAAATAGATGCTCGCCCCAGTCGGCTCTTCTTTCTGCATTTCTGAACTTGTGAATGACTCCATAGCCCACTCAGCAAGCCCACCCAGAACACGGCATTCACCTTCATTTCTCCCTCTCTTCCAAACCCGACATGTCACTAAGCTCTGGCCATTCTCAAATCCATCCCCTTTGTCTCCGCTCTCTCCAGCGATGGCTAGAGCATGTTCTCGAAATCCCATTCCTGGGTAATTCTAATAGTCTTCTAATCTGTTCACCCGTCTTTGCCACACCCACAGAGGCTCCAGAATGCTCTTTTTAAGAATGCAAGTATGAGGAAGTCTGCCTAAGACCATTGGTAATTTGAATTACCTCTAGAGAACAAATTCTTGACTCTAGCTTTTCAGGGTCGTCTTCCACAATTGGCTCCATTCATTTCTGAAAACTTGCTGTGATCTCTCAGACCCCACATTATGTCCACACCTCTTTCGCTGTCCTGCCTGCCTGAAGTGTCCTCTCCTTCCCTTACCCACACTCACCCCACCTCCACCAGTCCTGCTAGACCCAAAACATTTCAGTCCTGCAACTCTCTTTAGGGAGAACTTTCCCACCTCCCCCTTTAGAGTGCTCATCTTCCCTGTTTCTAAAACACCCTAAGCACGTTGCATTGCGGATTTGCTTCTTTGCCTTCCGTCTAGGATTCTCGATCAACTCTTAGGAAGCTTCACTTTTCACTTCTGTGAAACATGAATAGAGAAGAGAAAGGCGAGCTCATTCATCCGTCGACTAGTCACCTTGGAGAGAAAGTATACAAGAAGGGACTTAAGAACGAAAACAAAAAAACGGAATTATCTTTTGGAAGTTGGGCCCCGTTGACATCCGTGTACCAGCTAGATGTTGTGAAAGGCAGTGTGTGGCTTCAGTGAATTTTTTAATGGAGACTTTCAATGTGTTTGCCCATTTTATGTTGGGTGATTTACAAGTACACCTCCCACACCACGCTGAATGTTCAGCAGTTTTTGACCCCAAACTGCACGACCCCCATGCCCCACTCTCCCTAATCACCCGATCTCACCCCAGGCCACTTATTTTTGTGGTTTCCTCCTGTGGAAAAAGTCCTCAAAGGGAAAGGTTTACCGATGTGGAAGAGGTGAAAAAAAAGCGGCAGGAACACTAAAAGGCGTCAAAACCGACAAGCTCAAAAACTGTTTTGAGCAGTGGAAAAAGTGTCTCGATAGGAGTATTACATCAGATGGAGAATACTTTGAAGATGACTGCAGTTTAAACATGTAAGAATACACAATATTTTTAATAAGTTCCAGGGTTTTTTTTGGTCTCCCCTTGTACTGTAGGGATAAGGACAGTGACTGGAAAGGAACAATTGCCTTCAAATCCTGGCTCTGCAACTTACTAGTTTTGTGACATTTATCTATGTCCCCATCAGCAAAATAGGTGTGATCAGTACCTATTTCCTCAGATTGATGTGAGGATTAAAGGAGACACTGGCACCTAGAAAGATCACACAGGTTCCATAATACAACAACATCGGCATGTAGACCATATACATGTCTGCTATCTTAAAATATTCTGACTTGGGTGCAAAATGATGTGCGTTCCACCCAGCACTCTCCTTGTCTGGCCTCTGGGCCCACCACCTGCAGCCCCTCAAGAATTAGAACTGCAACGAAAACCTCGTGTGACCTCTCCTGGTTGTCCCAAGCTGATTAATTTCCCAGCTGGATTATGGCCTGAAGCCCCCAGCCGCCACAGAAACCTGGATTTGCTTGACAGTGGCTCTTCCAAGTTCAAGTATGGCAGACTTTTGGACTTTTTTTTTTTTTTGCAAAAGCACACGGTACTCGTTTCAGAAGCTGGTGTCACCGTGTAGAAAGTAGGGTTCTGACTTTCAGAGGAGCTAGTACTGGAGACTGGCGACTCCTCGGGCCAGGAGTTCTATTGAGACCGCGGGAGGTCAGGCGAGCACAGAGCCCAGATCTGGGGCCTCACCAGCAACCAGTGTGAGGACCGACTGGGTGGACAGGGTCGCGGGCTGTGGTCATCATCCAGAACATCAATAAGCTGCACTGCAAGGCTGGCACCAAGAACCTTCTGGAAATCCATGCCAGCTTATTTAAAACGCAGTATGCCTCTTGTGGGGTTGTGGCTGAGAACCACAAGAGTCCAATTTGTTCAGCTGTGCCAGGAAAAGGTGCTCCAGAGCCTGAAACTTAAGATGCCAGAATCCCAGCTGAGAAGCTTCCCAAGTGTGAAGAGGCAGTGTGGGGACTGGCCATGACGTCATGTGCGTGGCTTGGATGTTGCCATGCCGGAGGAGGGTTACCGGGAGCGGGCCCTCTAGGACTTATGTCTAGTGGTGGGCACTTCCTTGATGGTATATTCTGCAGCCATGTATCCCCCCCATGTGTCGTGCCAGTGGTTGGATTTCACATGGCGCCCACCCCAGCCACCAACAGATTCAGGCTTCATTTCCAGGGACAGTCATGAAAATGAAATTGTTTGAGTGCTCTGGGAGAGGAAGAAATTATAGTAAATCTAAAAACTAGCTGCAAACCAAGGAAAAACAATCTTGAGCTGAATATTGGATGATCTAAAAATATCCTCTGATTCCTTAGGTTGGAATCCAATCTGTTGATAGGTGATGGAGACGTGGAAGTAGCAAGAATAAACATATTTAGAAATCAGAGAACGGTAAAGATAATGTCTGTTATTTGGTTTGAACTGAAACATAAGGTACTTTGGCTGTGTTTGCTTGATTATTGAGAGGGAAAACGTTGTGTAATTAGATTGTCTAAACAAATGTGATTATCCTGATTATATTTTTGCTATTTGGGCAAAGATAATAGGAGAGGTAAAACTCTCCTATTAAATTCTGATTTTTTTCACAAGTTTTAGTGGAAAATAAAATCAATCTCTACAGTAGGTAATATCTTATCTAAAGATATTACCCCTGGGGAAAAAATTACTTTTTTTTTTACTATTACTTGCAACATCAAAAATATGTCCTTTCCCTCCCCTCCCTTTTTAAAAAAAATTTTAAAACAAAGTTTATTAAAGAAAGAAGAGAGGAAAGAAAGGACAGGTGAAAGAAAGGCCTGGCACAGGCAAGTCTCTCTAAAAGGAAAGACTTCCATCCTTCCCTTTTGAAAGGTTTAGTAATCTTTAGTAATCCCTTTGCTAACCTAGAAGGTGCAACAATGAATGCAATACCTTTTTCAAAGAGAATTCACTCGAAAATAGCCAACGTGGAGTATATTCTTTTAGAAGCAAAATTACTCCATTTGGGACTTTAGCTAAGAACAAATTTTAAAGAATGGAATTTATAAAAGGCAATATGGTTAAATCATGTCGGTATTTTCTAGTGGTTGAGAACAATTGCTGTGAAAGTGAATAAGTAAACTTCAAAATAACTATTTAAAAAAGGAGCTACTTGATGGATTTTCTTGGCTTGAAACTCTATATACAACCGTGAAATAGATGTTTGTTTCTGATCCCTTCTCAACAGTGTGCTTCTTCTCTAGAAATACAGGTGTTTGGTAGGTATTTGTTCAATAATTAATATTCCATGGAAAAAAAAATTATCTGATTAAAAATCTCTCCCCGGACAACCCCCTAAGCTCCCCTCCTGCTCTGGGAGCTTTTTTGTCCTCTCAGTAAATCCTGCTCTTTTTTTTTTTTTTTTTTTAAGTCTCTCCCCTCTGCCTCTCCCAAATGGAAAACAAACAAACGAAACACTTCAAAACAAGGATATGTGTGCTTATGTGTTTCCTCATTCAAAAAGTCATGTTAGAACGTAAAATTAATCCTGTAAAGACTCCCTTATGGGGAAGTTTCAAATCCCACCTATTTCTGCCTTACCTTCCATTCCCCCCCCCCACCACCACTCCCTATATCCAGTATTTCTTGAAGAAAGAATTTTGCTTCCTCTGAGACAGCAACACAGTGAGCATCTTCTTCCAAGAAGACTGGAGCTCCTCTGGATGTCCATCCATCCGGCAAAGGCCCAGCTCTGCATGGCAGGGCCCATTCCCCCCACACCCCCACTCCCAACCCCCCTCCTCCCTACCTCCCCCATTCTCCCCCCATTTCAAGAGGGCAGGGACATCCATGTGTGTGGTTCTTATCAGAACCCTTTAACATATGGGGTATAAATTTTAACGCAATAAGCAATTTTTGTTGTCCAGTAAGAAACTCTTACAGCTGATTGCATGCAATAAAAGCTTTATTAAGTCAAGGAACTGTTAACACCTTTTTAAACTGCTATGTGGAATACCCAAACATTTTTAAATGACACAGGACACAGCTAACACATCTTTAGTGACAGAGTTCCACTTTCACAATTTTCTCTGCTCCCACCCCTAGTCATCAGCCATAGAATATTCTTTCTTCTTGTGTAGCATATACATCTCACAGGAATTCGCCGAAGCTTTTGCCATGAAAACACATTTCTTAAGTAGGTACACAGTGGACAAAAGATTAAACACCTAATAGGACGTGAACTATTTAAACATAATACACAGTAACGGGGTTACCAAAAGGGCAACTTTCAATTCATCTTTCAATTTCCTTGAGACATTTTCTCTGAATTAACTTATTACAAACGGTCTCATTTTAGATGTGCGACGGCCTTTCCGTTCTCCCCCTGGGATGCCAACGTCCTAACAACCTGCACTCTCTCGCCTGGGAAAAACAAAGGTCAGCCTCTTACGGGGCGCCTCTCTCGGCAGTCCGGTTGCTACAGTCCGAAGCACAGCGGGCACGCGCACACCACCAACCACGACCGGGGACGCGCACAGGAGGGGAGCCGCGCGCGGGGCTCCCTGCCGGGGAGGGCCCGCCTCGGAGCCCGGGGCTCACATGACGATGCACTTGCCGAGCAGCTTCTCCGTGGTGCTGGGCGCGGGGGGCGCGCCCGGGGGCACCCGGGGCCCGGCGGCGGGCTGCTTCTCGTGGCTCAGCAGCATGTGGAAGAGCTCCTGCACGTTCACATCCGCCTTGGCCGAGGTCTCCACGAAGGCGCAGCGCCACTCCAGCGCATAGGCGGCCCCTTCCTTGCGGGTCACCTCGCGGCCCCGCTCGTCGCTCTTGTTGCCCACCAGCACGACGGGGAACTTGTGCAGGCTGCTGCCCTTGATCTTGCGGATCAGCTCGTAGAAGGGGCGCAGCTCCTCCAGGGTCTCCCTCTTGGTGACCGAGTAGACCAGGACGAAGGCGTGGCCGCGCGCGATGGCGAAGCGCTGCAGCCGCGGGTCGCGGCGGCCGTCCGCGCTGTCGGTGATGTGCAGGGACGCCACGCCGTGGCTGCAGCCCAGCAGCCGGCAGCGGGTCTCGGCCAGGGCCGGCAGGTAGGCGTCGCGGAAGGCCGCGCACCACCGCTGCATCAGCGTGCTCTTGCCCACGCCGGCGGCGCCCACCACCACCACGCGGTAGTCGCGGCTGCGCCGGTGCGGCACGAAGGCGCGGAGGATGAGCAGGGCGGGCAGGAGCCGCAGCTGCTGCAGCAGCCGCCGCTTGGAGCCGAAGCCGGCGTTGCCCATGGCGGGGTCGGGAGACGGCGCTGGTCCTGCGGGGCTGGCGGCGGAGAAGCCTGCGCGGGGAGAGAGAGCGGAGAGCTTTAGCCCGCGACGTGCTCTGCGCGCCAGCCTGGCCAGCTGCGCCACTGCGACTCGCGGAGCGCGGGGGGGCGGCGGGACGGGGCGGGGGGGCTGTGACGCAAAGCGGGTGCATGCGGCGAGAGGAAAGCTACCGGGCACGCGGACCCGGCGGGCCCGGGAGGAAACAGCCCCCTCTGCGACGCGGTCACGGGTGGTCCGGGGCGAGGGACCGCCCGGCTGGGGACACACACAACAGACCTGGCGTTGCCTGCTTTATGCAGACCCGAAAGCGCAACGATCCACATTTACCTTTTATTTTTCTTTCCTTAAATTGTTTTATTTCGTCCTTACTACATCCCTCCATGACAAGGCCCCCCCGACCCTGGTTTCCCCCCTTGATGAAATGGGGATTTTAATTAGGCCAGAACAAAGAGAAATGGGGGGGGGATGTGTGATTCATCACATTAGGGGAAATGCCAAGGGGCCATTTGGGATGACACCTCTGCCCTGGCTAAAGCTACAAAATCGAGAATACGGAGCAAAGGAGGAGGTCCGGGCAGTGCTGGCGGTGGAATGTGGAGGCGAGATGCCTGCAGCCAGCGCAGCCCCCGGAGAGGCCCGGACCGCCTCTCCGGGCCAAGCTACACCTGTGTCACGGGCGGGAAGGAGAGGGGGGAGAATGGGGTCTCAGTTCACCCCCGGCCCCCTCTCTGCACTGCAGCAGGCGGCTGGGTCCCAGCCCTCACCCTGCACCTCAGGGCAGAAAGCGCTGACGGGGAAGAGGGGGCAGAGGGGGGAGTGGGAGCCGGGTGAGGGGCTCTACCAGGCCTGCTCCTGCCCTCCTGGAGGCCCCGCGCCCATTCCATTATTCATTCATTCATTTATTTTCAGTGATTTACGATTTAACTTTTGTAAAAGTATGTTGACAAATATTAGATGTTACTCTGGCATTTTGAACGTCATGATATAAACATAAAACCCATTTCAATAAATATTCCTTTCAGTGGAATTATGTGTTTCCCTATGTGTGATTGATCGACCAAAAAACATGCACGCAATTTCAAGCTTTTTTCTTTTCTTTCTTTTTTTCATCATCAGCTCAATGATTTGGGGTTGCTAGTACAATATAGACCACATAGGGGGAAAGTACAAAACGGCACTTAGCACCAATGCCGGTACTTACCTCATTATGGATATAATTAAAGATGTTATTAATTTTTATTATTTGCTTTTCCTTAGAACATAAATCAAAGCCATTAACTTGAACTTAAGATATATACATTATACATACACTATCTTATGCAAAATATGTTTCATAAGTCACGTCACATTTAAAAATATTGGAAACTGAATACCTGTGATTTTTATTTTGACTTCATGGAACAAGAGAACATTCAACTAGGGAGGGTTATACTAATGAAAAAGCTTTTAAAGGCCCAAATGTCTTCCTCTCCCTTTGTACTAATCACAGGCTACACAATGTCCTGAGAGAAGGCGTTGTAAGAAAAGTGCGTCACAACCTCAATAGCTTACTTTGTAAGGAACTAACAAGAAAGATTAGAAGATGAGACCTCATTTTTGTTTTCAAATAAATGGTCTTAATGTTTCTTCTTATAGAAAAGTTTAAAACAGTTTATTATAAATATATCTAAGCTAGAACGCACACTCACATGTACACACACACACACACACACACACACACACACACACTGCACATGCTCCAGGCCTCTGCCTCCCGCAGAAGGCCCTAGAAGCAGCTGCTCTCCAGCCCCTCCCCTCTGGGCTGCAGCCCCGCGCCTCCACCTGCACCTCCAGGAGTGCCTGGGTCAAGGGATACGTCTGTTACTTTTCTACCAGCACTAGTCATCATTCCAAATTGTACACAGATCCATGGAAGCTGTGAAAGATCTCTCTGACAGTATAAAGGTTCTGGTTGGTGGTCTGGGGCTATGTGGAATTCCAGAGACGCTTGCAGGCAGTTTCCTAAAGACTGGAGTAAAATGACTAACAGTGGAGGGGTTGACAACTTTGACTTGGACCTTCTGCGGTGATCCAAGCAGATAAAACGCATGGTCTCTTTATATGTGGGAGAAAATACAAAATTTGAATGACAGCTCTATCTGGTGAATTAGAAGCAGAGCTAACACCTCAGGACACACTTGCAGAAAGGATTCATGCAGGTAGGGCTGGGGTTTCTGCATTTTACACCACCACAGGAGATGGGACCCTGGTACAAGAAGAAGGATCGTCCACCAAATACAATAAGGATGGCAGCATTGTCACTGCCAGCAAGCCAAGAGAGGTGAGGGAATTCAGTGGTTAACACTTTATTTTGGAGAAAGCAATTACGGGGCATTTTGCTTTGGTGAAAGCATGGAAGGCAAACCCAGAAGGAAACATGATTTTCAGAAAAAGTGCAAGGAATTTCAACTTGCTCATGCACGCAATTGCAGAAACCATAGGGGTAGAGGTTGAAGAAATTGTGGCTATTGGATTATTTGCTCCAAAGACGTCCATATTCCCAAGATTTATGTACATCACCTTATAAAGGGAGAAAAATATGAGAAAAGAAGTGAGCACTTAACAATCCAGAAAGAGAGAGACGGAAATGTTAGATCTGGTAACATGGAGATAATGCAAGAAAATGTATCATCAAGCAGGCAGCTCCTGAACTTGAGGACGGCACATATGCTAACTTGGGCATAGGAATCAATCCTCTGGCCAGCAACCTTATCAGCCCAAATATGAGCGTTCGTGTGTAGAATGGAAATGGAGTCTGGCTTGAGTCCTCACTGATTACAACATGAAGCTGATACAGATCTAATCAATGCAGGCAAGGAGACAGTGACTGTCATTCCAGGAGCCTCGTTTTTCCCCAGTGATGAATCATGTGCAGTGATTAGAGGGGGACATGTCAATCTAACAATGCTAGGAGCAATGTAGGCTTCTAACACAGTGACCTGGCTAGCAGGATGACACCTGAGAAGATGGTGAAAGTGCTCTGCATTCAGTGTCTGGTGCCAGAACCAAAGTGGTGGTCGCTATGGAGCATTCTGCAAAGGGAAATGCATAGATGACATAAAGTCACGGAGGATTGTTCACTGCCACTGACTGGAAAGCAATGGGTCGACCACATTGTTACTGAAAGGGCTATGTTTGGTGTGGACACGAAAAAAGGGCTGGTTTTCATGGAGGTCTGGGAAGGCCTGATGGTGAGTGACATGCAAAAGAATAATACCAGGGGTGGTTTTGCAATTTCACCCAAACCTGTGTCGATGCTGCAGATAGCAAATTGAAATGTGGACAATTGTCCAAGGATGTCTGTTTTTCATTTTCAACACACAGGATTTAATTGAAAGGACATCAGTAATCATAACTACACACTTAAGCAATTTTTTACTAGATTTTTTCTAGAATGCAGCCATATAGACTTTGTTCTCTCATGTGTGCTATGACATTTTAATGAAAAATAAAAGGAAAACATTTATAATCTTGTTTTTTTTTAAGGCTGAGAAGACCGTTTTTACAAGCCGTGCTCACATTGGATGTATCTTTGCCGTCTACTCTGAATTATATGCAGCTTTTACCAAGATGGGTCATAGAAAGAGTTTCACTGCTGTGCTTTCCTTCCTAACTAAATTACGACTTACTGGTCCTAAAAGAAAGATGATATATGCATGTAAGTTTGTGATGAGAAGAAATGCTCTCACAGCAATTGTTCTTCCTTCACCCTCCTCTGACCCTTCTTTTGGGGAGTCTGATTTTGTTATTCTATCTTGCTCCCCTAAGCACCCTCCTTTTTCCTACACTTCTAGCTAAATAGATGCCCAAGAAGACATGCAGGGAACACTCTTAGGGGGAGAAGTAACTGCTTCATGGGAAAGATCAAGAATATAGGATCTCTGGGCATTGACATACCATCACAAAGTAGCCTTTATAAACAAACCAACCATCCATCTGTGCTCTGCCAAAGACTAAGACTTATTATAAGAATAGGCTAGAAACCTAACTGATCTACTCGGACAGTTTTCTCATTTTAAAACATCCAGAGGGATCATTAAAATTATTGCTCTATGTTATTAAGGCCCAGTGGGCTACAGGTGCAATGCCTCTCTTAACCCAAGAGGGACTGTGAAGTAATTTATCATGAATCCTTACAATGACAGAAGAGCTTTAAGAAGATACTTTCTTTTCAGGCTCTCATTTTTGCTCAGAAAAGATCCTAAATATTGAGTGGGTTTTCTACAGAACCGTGGTTTTTCTTCTCCCAAGGCTCCTTCCTTTAACAAAGTACTTTTAATTCAGCCTTATCCAAATAGAGGAAATCATGATAGGCCAAGTCCAGGATTTGAGCAGCCAGGGAGTTTTTCATGTTGGGGAACACACATGGTGGATTAGCTTTATGAGGAAATTTTCCTCAGAGGTATCCTCAATGGCAGACAGCCCAGGGGGAATTGCTTCAGAAGCCACCTGGGTATCAGATGGGAAACGAGTTTCAGGAACCCCGAAGACAGGCAAGACAGCTGGCCTCCGGACACAGGCAGGCATACACTAAGCACTGTCATGCTTCTGGTACTAAGTGAAGTAATCTCTGCATGCCTCTAGGGGAATATGGTCATGGAAATGCACTTCTCTTTAGGTACAGCTACAACCGTGGCGCATACGATACGGGAGGAGGGAGGCTTTTTGTCTGTGAGTAGCAATCCTCCAAATAGAAAATAGCTTTTCTAGGAGGCTGCATGGGTGAAAGCATTCTCTCCCAGGACTGGGGCAAAGGACCACTGACAGTAACATTCTATATTAGAGCTTTGATTTGAAAAAAAAAAGATCATGTTGCTGGTTTTTACATCTTCAAATTTATCATTCCAGTCTGGTTTCCTTAAGATAGTAATTCCAGGAAGTGGCAAGAGTTAAGTAGATGATTTTACAGTCTTGATTAAAGA